GTCGGCCCCCTCTTCCCTCCTCAATTCCCCCTCGTTCTCCCTTGTTTCGATGCGAGGTCTATAGTAGATAATCGATGATGGTGATGATGCTAATCATCCTGATGATGATGTCATAATCCGGCTGATGGTTGTGATTGTGCTGCTGCTGCTAATGATAATGATGATAATGATGATGATGATGAGCATCATTAATAGGCGTGATAATAAGGATTAGAAGGCGATTTCAATCCTCGTAGTATGCTGCTGCTGATGATGGAATTGATTGCGAAAATCTAGACATTGATTGTGTCGGATCATTGGAATAGATTTCAATCCAAAATTTGTTTCAAAGCAGCGCGTTGGCCTGAAAGCTTTTAGCCTGATCAGTTTAATATCTGATCTTTAAGGAAAAAAAAAAGAAAAAAAAAAGAAAAAAGAAAGCTTTTAGCAACCTGTAGTCGGGGTAACACTCTGTGTGTATTGCAGTCTGTAGGGTAGGGTTTAATATCTGATTCAGTCATGATGAGGGTCGCGATCTCCCAAAACGTTCTCTTCTTATTACTTCTGTAGCAGAAAACGACGGAACTGACAACCGTTTTTCCTGGAATTAAAAAAAAAAAAAAAAATAGTAAGAGAAGAAAATCAAAATTTCTTTGCATGAGTGTCGCCCGGCGCGTCCAACCTGTCAGAACCTCAATGGTAAGTGCAGTCTGTATCGTAGGGTTCTTGCAGGCCAGATTCAGTCATGATGAGGGTCGCGATTTCTCAAAACGATCTCTTCTTATTACTTCTGAAGTAGAAAACAACGGAATTGACAGCCGTTTTTCCTGGAATTTGTGTTTTTAATAAAAAGAAAAAAACGTAAAGGAAGAACATCAGAATTTCTTTGCACGAGTGAAGCCCGGAACCTCAGCGGTAATGGGCATCGCCACAGCACTCTTGAAATCACCAACGGGCTCGCTGCACAACTCTCGACATGCACAACAAGACATAGGGCCTCGCTGCACTGCTCTCAACATGCACAAAAGACAAAAATATTGGCGGTGTATCTTTCCATATTCTAGCGCAAGATTCACTCTCGTTTTGCACATTTCCAGAGTAGTGCAGCGAGACCCATATATGGCAATGTATCTTTCCATGTTCAAGCTGAGGATTCAGTCTCATTTGTTCAGAGATTCTCCAAAAAAAAAAAAAGGGTTCCAGAGATACTTTACGTGCTTACCTGATTCATCGGCCCTTCGCTCTCCACCACCCAATGTATAAATGAATCTTCCGCCAGAACATGGAAAGATACACCGCCATATTTTTTGTCCTTGTGCATGTCCCCCGCTTCCGGAATCATGTTGCCCGTTCATAAGGGCGTTTTCTTCGGTCCGATAGTGTCAGCACACGGTTTCTTCTCTCTCTCACACGGTTTCCTCTCTCTCTCTCTCTCTCACACACACACACACACACACACACACACACACACACACACACGCACGTGCGCGCGCGTACACATCTCCCTGTGACACAGTCGCATACACGTGCGCACGTGCCTGCTTGCAGCAATAGAGAGGGCGTAGGATGGATGGCAGGTTCTGCTGGTGTAGCGACTGACCGGAGCGTGGTCCCATTAGCAGTCGGATAGGAGTGTGGCCGATCCAGTGTGACAGTGTGTGGCCTTGGGCGACAGTTGTGCGGACTGATTTTTGAGGAAAATAAAACCGGTGTTGTATTTGTTGTGTTATTTCGTTTTTCTATTCATAAGCACTTGTATATTTTTTTTCTGTTGTGAAACAAAWTTTTCRTGCTTGTGTATAAAATTGTTCYGGAAATTKTKCCSTGATTGACTCTTGAAAAAGATTTAGAATCATTTCTGTAGATCGTTTTTCATTTCGTGTACAGTCTTGCTTACCTATTTGGTGACCTTCCCTTCTCGATGACAGTAACACGATTTCGTACTATATTGACAGTAACACTACCAATAATGCATGTGACTACTTTCACGGGCAAACCTGAATTCATCTGTCCGCAAATACGTCCATATGTTCGTGAAAAAGCCCGAATGTGAATATGCCCACAGAGAGAGAGAGAGAGAGAGAGAGAGAGAGAGAGAGAGAGAGAGAGATTTGCCTTTCCGTTGACAACCTGTCGTCCCGTTTTCTGCGCTCGGTTCCCATCATTTCGATATAACTTTTACAACAGCATTTAAGATTCGTGCTAGGGTGCGTCTCATATTGCAAGCTTGTTTTTTTTTTCTTTTTCCCTTGATGTTGGAGAAAGAATCCGCTATGGGTCGACATGTACCAGTCATCAATTCCGAGTGCATTCAGTTTGTTTGACTCCTATGAATGCACCTGGTCCATATAAGGGGCAGATGCATCTACAGCGCCTAATTTTCGAATGACGGCACAGAGAGAGAGAGAGAGAGAGAGAATAATCACAGTAGCACTACCTAAAATGCATGTGACCACTTTCACGGGCAAACCTGAATTCATCTGGCCGCAAATGCGTCCATATGTTTGTGAAAAGTCCGATAATTGTGAATATGCCCAGATAGAGAAATGACGGCGGGTGGAGAGGGGGGAGCTAGCGAGCGAGCGAGCGAGCGAGCGAGAGAGAGAGAGATGCCTTTCCATTGACTGTGTGTTGCCCGTTTTCTGCGCTCCCATCATTTCCACGATAAGGTCTACAATAGCATTGAAGATTCTGGACACATTCTTTATTCGTTTTTTTCCCCCCTTCAAGTTCATGTTGAGAAAGAATCTGCTATGGGTCGTCATGTAGCAGTCATCTAGTCCACGTGCATTCGATTTTAAAGACTCCTACGAATGCAACTGGGCCAGATAAGGGCTGGATGCATCTACAGCGCCGAGGTACACAGAGAGAGAGAGAGAGAGAGAGAGAGAGAGAGAGAGAGAGAGAGAGAGAGAGAGAGAGAGAGAGAGAGAGAGAGAGAGAGAGAGAG